AAATCCGATCGATATTCCATTGGAGCCCTCCTGAGCGGTAATCACACTCATCGTGAGGAGGCGTCTGGAGGAATGACGGCACGCGACAGAGACGGCACTTTTCTTCTGCATCGTTTTGACCGTCAGTTCCAACTGCTCAGCTCTGCCACTTTGCCTGCGGTTCCCTCTGCCTCTGAGCCCCTTTTCTGCTGGACAAGATGGTCAGAAAGCAAAGGGGATGGCTCCAGGGGAGCTAGGGTCTTAAAATGAAGACACCCCCCCCCCCAGATAAAGTCTGAAAAGTGTTGCAGGGTGAGGTGGGTTGGCTGGGAGAAAAGCAAAGTCCTGCTCATTCCGAGGAAGAGAAGCACGGGTGGCCCTTAGGCTCAGAGTCCAGCTGAGAGGCATCTCTGGGTTTGTCTCTCTGGAAGTGGCAGCAGAGGGCATCTGGCCTTCTCCGGCCCTTTGGAGGTCTTCAGTTCCAAGGAATAAGCCTAAGAAGCCCAGCAATGGCCCCAATGCACTACAAAGTGGTGCTAAGTGGGTTTATTCCTAGTGACAACACAGAGCCTGCAGCAGCTTTCAGAGATGAAAACCTATTAAGCAGATGGTTGCAGGGCGTTCTGTGTATTAATAAAACTGAGGGGACTTCGGATTATTAGTCCACCGCTCCGGTGCTGCTGCAGGAGTAATGAAATGCACACTTAACCATTTATTAGCCCATCCAGGGAGTGCTTCCCTCTCTCGGCCAAGAGGCTTGCACGGAAAAGACTGGCAGCTGGAGGTCTGCTAACAGGTCCTCTTTGGCAGCGTAAAATCTGGGGGAAATCAGTGCTTGTGACTGGCGGGAGTTCAAATGAAGCCAGTTCCCCACTGCCGAGCGTCGGAGACAGTGAAAAAGGAGAGGGGGCTCTGCTCCGGGAAGGCCTCCCCTCTGTAACCTCTGCTGGGCGGCCACAGAGAAAGCCCTGCCCTGCCCAGCTCAGCGGGGCAGTCAGTGCCACACCATAATCTGCAAGGCTTGCGTAGTGTGAAACATAACCAGATCTTGTGGGTGGAAAGCTGGAGTTCTCCTCCAGCTCCCCGGGAGGAGATGTTGGGATGTATGGCGGCTTGTGTGAAGGCCATGCACCAAAGGACCAAGGGTGGACCTCGAAAGACGTGTCCTCTCCCGTTTTTCCTTGGACGGATTTCATTCCAAGCAGCCCTCCTTCTCTGCCTCCCCAGCTCCTCCCTGGGAAGTTCTCCAAGGCAGGAAAGAAGCAATTTGGGAGGCAGCAGAGAAGGTGAGGCCATTTTCCATCCACACCACAGGTAGGCAAGAGGGCTGGGCTGGATCTGGAGAGGGCAAAGAGGGGAAGGGTTTCTAGGAGGGGCTCAACTTCTCCAAAGCAAGGACAGGACCCTGAGCCTTGGAGAGTTTGGCCCGTTTCTCAGCTCAGCTCTGCCACCAGAGGAACTTCTCAAAGTGGGGAGGGGGCTACCGGATGTTCAAAAGTCCCTGGGAAGGGGGAGGAGGCCTTTCCGACTTTCTCCTGATCCTGGCCAGGGTGCTCTGAGGATACAGCTGAGCTGCTGTCTGAAGCAATTGTTTCCCTCAGGCTAAGGATAGAGCTGGCCTGGCTCCAGCTGAGAGAGCAGCAGCCAATCTACGGCCTTAAAACAGACGCATATGGGAGCTGATTCACCTGGCAGCCGAGTGGCTTTGCAAGCTGGACACAAGAGAACCTCTTCCCAAAGGCCCAGCACGCCTGGCCACTTCCCTGCCTGCCTGCCCAGCCTCTCGTGGTTGGGCAAGTCCCGTTCCTGCTCTGGCCTCTTCATCAGCGGGACCTTAAAAAGGTCCTGGCCTTCCCCCAAACTTTTGGCATCCAAGTAAGGGATCATGGCAGGGTGGGTGCGGTACAGCCCACCCCCTCTCCTGCGACTGACAAACTCCCTTCCTTTGTACCCCACCCACCCCTTTGCAGATACCTCTCCCAGAGGAATCCAACGGCCCTTACACCATCATAGAGAGAAGCCAAAGAGAAGAGGGCCCCAGGCAAAAGCCCATCTAAACAAAGAGGCCACACAGGCAGCAGCTTTCACCTGGATGCCTTTTGCACCACTTTCCTGTTCCTGGCCTGCATACAGAGAAGATAGAAAAAGGATTTGAAATTCTTGGGCAGCTTTTCGATCCAGAGAAATTTGATCATTTCATTGTGTGACTGCTGGTTTGGTCACCAGTGCGTCAGTTTCCTCCATTTGGTGAGCAGCTGCTCTTGTCCCCCCCCCCTTCGCCTCCCCTTCACTTCCCCCTTTCGGTCCTTTGATTTTAAAAGCTAGGAAGAACCAAGGCTGTGCTTCCGCTTCCTATAAGCACGCCTGTTCTGCAACTTGTTTGCATCTGGTCAAAGGAATGGGAAGGGGCCGAAGAATCAAACCCCCGTCTTTTGTCTGATATGCTTTGTCCACAAAAATGGCCATTTAATTCTTTTCTGATCTTCCTCCTCTTCCCCTCCACCTTTCAACCTGGGCATTCAAGAGGTCACAGGCTACCTGCTGCCCTTTAAAAGAGAGAGAAGCTGAGAGGCTGCCAATATCATGGCTGCAAAACAACCGGCATGGAAATACCCCCCAAGGCGGCTCCAAAACCCTCCCCGGTTGCTCCAGCTGAAGACTCCTGCATCGTCTTGTCCCGCCAGGAGGCACCATGTGGGCAAACCTTTGGGTGGGTTAGGGTTAGGGTTGTTTAGGATGCCAGCTCTCCCACAACCCAAAGAGTGCAGGGTTAAGGCTGTATAGCAAATTTGATCCCAGAACAATCTCATTGCAGACCTTCAAAATGGCTTTCTTGATTCTCTTGGATCTTGGAACTGTCCCCTCCGGGAATCATGTTGCAGGGACAGCAGATCACACCCAGTAGCCAAGGAATTGACTCTTCCTGGGAAATTGTGTCTCTCTCCACTCTTCCTCTTTTCTTGGGTGCCTCCAGGTCAGTCTTGACTCCTGCCTGGGGCCTGGACCAGCCTCTCTGGTTTTCTTGGCACCATTTTCAGAAGTGGTTTGCCCTCGCCTCCTCTTCCTGGTTCTGGAGAGAGCGCCTGGCCCAAAGTCACCCAACCGGCTTCATGCATAAGGCAGAACTAGAACTCGCCGTCTCCCAATTTCTGGCTCAGGGCCGCTCAGGGCCCTCTACAGCCCTGCTCGAGCCAACCCCAAAAGTATTGGGGGAGACAGCCTAGATGTTGCAACCATTTTCTGCTTAAAGGAAATGGTGGTGCGAAAAGAGCCCAGGTCACAGCCTCAAAGGCTGGGTTTTCAGCCTTCTTCTGAAAACCCCAGGCACATCTCCTTGTGAGCCACACTGAACTCCAGCCACAAGCAATTTCCTGCTGCTTCATGTCACACACACACACACACACACACACACACACACACACACACGTCCTCCCCCTCTGCCCACCTGGGCTCCTGCCCTGCAGCAGGAAGTGAACCATTCAGAAACGGCCGGTGAAGGCAAGGAAGAAGTTCAGAGGGAGAAGAACCAACTGGGGACCCCCACCTTCCCTCCCAAATCCTCTCTCCCTCCTCCGCCTGACGCGGCTGTGCTCAGACTCACCAGAATAATGGGATTAAACACGCATTTTAAAAACATGTCAGATCATTTAAGCGCATCAAAAACTTCCTGCAAAGGGCTGCAACCTGCCCTTCCGGACGAGCCCAACAGAAGCACGTCACCATCCTTGGGGGGCCGGGGGGGGAACCAAAGCAAGAATTCTGTCAGACCGGACTAATTGGGGGGGAGGGTCTTTGCAAAGCCAGCCCACCTTCCCTTTTCCCTGTGGGAGGAAGGTGCCCCCAGATACCAGCCCCAGCTTTGAACTGTCTCCTGGGAATGGCAAAAGTCTAAGAAATAAAAGAAATAAAATGAACCGGACCTTCTGTGGGGAACGTTAGAAAGAAAACGCCAGAGTCAACAAGGCCTTTTGATTTGAGGTACACACAGAATCCGAGGCGGGCTGCAAGGACTTTGGTCTGCCTGGTGAGTTCGGTGGAGGCGGCTCCTCTGGAGCCCAATTTGGGGGATGGGACTTAGGCCTCCCTCCTCTTTTTCCAACCCTCCCATCTTTCGACGCCCCCCCCTTTCATCTTGTCTTTCTCACGACAGAAACTATATCCGGGAAAGGGATCCTCTGCATCAGCCTGTTGCTCCCCCGAGCTGGACGCAGAGGGAGGGGGGGCGTAGAATCCGGCCCCATCTTCCTGCAGTCCGCCCTTCCCTGCCGCCCGGGATGGGGGTCCCATGGGGCGCGCCGGCGAATTCCGGCCTCAGCCACAGAAATGCCGAGTGGCCCCTTCAGCTTCCAGACGCCCCCGACCTCGGCTACCCCCCAACACTCCAGCCACACCAGAGGCCTCGCGAGGTCCCGGTACCGGAGGCGGCCAACCCGAGCGCGCCTACCTTCGCCCGCGCTGGCTGCTGAGCGGCGGCGGCATCAGCGCGGATCTTGAACGAGCCACGACCCGCCGCTTCCTCCCGCGCGGCTCCAGGACAGGTTTGGCTGGGGGGGGGGGGGGGGGGGGGCGGGGGCGGCAGAGAAGTTCCCCGGCGCTCGGGCCGGGCAGGGAGGAACTACGAGGCCGGCGCTGTCCGGCGCCCTGGTGCTGAAAGCAGGCGGTCCTGAGTGGCCGCGCCCCCCCCCCCCCAAGCACAGGCACACAGGGCGGGGGTCCTCCCAATGCCGCGAAGCCAAGGGGAGCCCGTATTCAGGGGGGGGCAGCGAGCCGCCTCTCCCCGCTCCGCCTGGTCTCCCTGCTTTGATGTTCGCCTACGAACTTGCGCCCGGGATGGCCAGGGGTGCCGCGACGCAGAAGCCGCCCGCCCGCCCGCGCCCTAGGGCTACGGGGCTCCAAGTCGGCGGTCGGGAAGGGCTTCGAGGGCTCCTTTTGAGCCGAAGAGGGCCGCCGTAGCTGCTTCCCCGAGGATATGAACGGCCTCTGCCCCCCCCCCCCCACCCCCACCCCCCGCTTGGTCCTACCTTGGCGGGTCCTCTCGGTGCGGCCGCCTAGCAGGCGGAGGAGGAGGAGGAGGAGGAGAAGCGCGAGCCCCCGGGGCCCCGTCATGGTGCTGGGATCCCGCTCCCCGCGAAAAGCTGCTCTCCAGCCGAGCCGAACGGCCGCTCCCTGTTCGCGCAGCCCGGCTTGTGGCGGTGGCGGCCGCGGCAACGAAGCCCCTCCTTTGCCAATCCGAGCTGGCGCTGCGGGAGGGGGGAGCGATGGGCTGCCGCTCTGCACCGCCTCCTGCCCGCCCCGCAGGAAAAAGCCGGGGCTCAACCGGAGCTTTTCGCGACGGAGCCGATCTGAGGAAAGAGGCAAGAAGGCCACTGAGCGCGTGCAGAGTATATCGAACCCCATCCGCTGCCGCAGTTCAACCCTCTGCTCGAGGTGGGAGGAGAAGCCCTTTTCCTTTTCTCACTCCCTGCCCCCCCCGCCACCCCCAGGCCCTTGAAAGGCAGAAGCGGGTCTTTGTGACCAGGATCCTCTCCAAAGCCTGGTGGGTCCCCACTCCCCTCTCTCCGTGGGCTGGAAGCAGCAGAGGCTTAGCAAAGGCAGCTGCAGCCAGGCAGGATCCAAGCTTCTTCTCTGAGGAAATCTCCCCACAGGGGGACAAACCCCGGATCAGGCTGGAGAGACACCTGGTCACCACGGCTGATCTCAAAGGCACCCAGCAGGGATGGATGAGAGACCACAAGGAAGTTCTGAAGCTATAAGATGCCCTGGGAAGAGGGACACTCCTCTCCCAAGAAGACATGGCAAGTGGCTTCCATGCCCGAGCCAAAAAGGGTGCCCAGATCTGGATGGCACCAGGCCTGGATTTTAAGCCCAGCACCCTTTGGCCAGACAGCACAGACTATCCTGAGCCAGGCCTGGGTGAAGGACTTGGCTACAGCTCCTTCTGTTTCTTCCCCTCTCAACTGCTCATCTCCATCCAGTGGGACTCAGTTCCAAGGCTGTGTCCCTCGATCCCATCACACCGTCCTTGCCACAGCAGGCTTGCTGACCACAGGGCCCTTCTGGGCCTCCTCGTGTCTTAATTGTCCTCCCTCCTCATTAAAATCTGGCCAGCTTAGCCAGAGAGAAAAGAGGGACTGATGGGGATGGGAAATCAATGGCAACAACCCACAAGGTCTTCTCCTGGCCTTGCTTCCATGGGCAGCTCAGAACCAGCCCCTGCTTCCTTTGGCAGCCTCAGTGGGTTTTGTCCTGATTTCTGCTTAGAATGAACAACAACGAAACCCTCCCCTCTCCAGAAATGTTATTCTGTTCTTTTGCACGCATGCACACAGACACCCCAAAGCCAAAAATGTGAGCCTCAAAAGTCTTTTGCCTACTTCAAGCAGCTGCTTAGCCACAACATAACCCAAGAGCAGTTATTGGCTCAGTCTGGGTTAACATGCCATGCCGGGCAGTTCTTTCCAGGGGTTCATTGACTCTGAAGCCATCGAGGGAAAGGACCAAAGGATCAGAAGGAAGAAAACTGGCAAAGAGCCAGAGCCGAAGAAGCTTCTTGGATGAGGAGCGAAACGTCTTCTAAGAAAAACCAGAAAGTCCAGTTGCCTCTTAAAAAAGCACCTTTGGGACAGCCAGGGGTGGGTTACTTGAAGGCCAGCTGGTCCAAGAATTGTAACTGGGGGCAAATGCCACCCCTAATGGGTCTTAGGAAGAGGCTGTCTCTGTCCGAGGGGTAGCTTTCTTCCACCCTCCTGGCAGAATTGCCATTGGGGCAAAACCAGGCAGGAGGGAAGAAATGGCAGTGTAGAGAACAACCCAGGCAAGTGACTGAGACAAGAACCGATGCCAAAGACGTTGGAAAACCAAAATGGCTTCAGTTAATGTACCGAAAACGGCACAGGACGATCCTCCCAGGGAAAAGGTCTTTCCATCTTCCCCAAAGGGAGGCCTTTTCCTGCCTGGAAATACTGTGTGTGACCAACCATACGCTAAATAAATAAATAAATTCCTGCCTGGTTGGCTGTTTAATGTGGCCCATTAACCCCTCTCTTGCCTCCAAGGGGGGGGATGGGAGAGGCTGGGGAATATTGCAAGGAGGGGGAGGGAAATGATCCTTCTGTGCTTCCACCCAGCCCTCGCGAGTCCCTCGGGTGCTGTGGGAGCCTCTCTGTTCTGACAACGCACCCCAATGCAAGGGTGGCCCCCAGGCAGTCTGAAGGGCTGCAGGGTCCGTTCCCAGCACTGGGAAGGGGATGGGAGTGGTGGGAGTCCAGCTCCTCTGGAGGGCTTCAGCAGCACCAATAAAGAATATCTGTAGTTCAGTGTTGAAACAAGGGGTTTGTGATGCTCTCTGAGCTTGGCTGTTTTCTTGCAGACGTTTCATGACCCAAATTAGGAAACTAGCTTGCTTGCAGTGCTATTGAAAACTTACAGTGCCAAACGGCCGAGGGTCCAGACAAAGGCCCTACCTGGGGGTGGGTGGGGAGAAAGCAACTATGTCCTCTAAAGCCTTTCTTATTTCCAGCTAGGAACAAGGAGCTGCGATTGGAAGCAGCCTCCTTTTTAATGCTGTCTCTTGCCCTGTATATGCAGAGCCAGGACCGGTGCTGAGAAGTGGCGGAGGAGATGCTAAAACTGTTTTGTAATTACCTTTCAAACCTGAGACGGGCTGGGGCTTGTTTGCCATCCTGCCTTCTAATCCTCCGTTTCCTAACATGAACTGCCTGCAGGCCACAAGGTGCTGGCTGACATCCACCGCCGGCCTCGTGGATTGTAAATCTGTTTAACAAAAAGGGCCGCCTGGGTGCCAATCCCAGGCTTATAAATATGGGGACAGGCAGCACCAGAGCTTCAGCAAGGCCAGCAACTGGGGAAGAGGGAGAGGAGGAAGGCCGGAGGGAAAGGAACAAGCCTGATACTAATTAATGAAGTCATGGATTTTTGAAAAGCAGCCGTGCAGGGAGGGATGCTGGCTCTGGGACCGGCCCCTCATTGCAAGAATCTTCCAGGGACTCAGCCTGCCCCCACCTGGATGGGGTCTTTCCCCCCCAAAAAAACCCCCATTGGGCAGAGACTCGGGGGGGGAGGGAAGCAGGGGAACACCAAGTAACTGGCCTCTCTCTGCAGTGGGGCAGCTCTGCCTGGCACTGGGGCTGCAACTACAAGAGGACCACTCCAAGGACGGCTGTGGTTCCCATGGCAACCCCATCACTGCCACCATGCAGATCGGCCATCGGGAGGACTGGCACCTGTTGCAGAGAGAGGGGCCAGCCAAGCTCTGCCGTCTGCTCACAAGAGGGCTCCTCCCAGATGGCTTCCCCCTTTCCACTGCCCCCTACCCAAGGCTGGGCAGGAATAACGTTCTGCTCAAAGCCTGGGGGGGGCGGAATCTCTCTGCTTCCAGGAAGCCTCGGAGGGCTGAAGGCAGCAGAAGCGACCTTGAGGTCTCCTGTACCTGGCAGCAGAGACTGCCCCCCCCATTTCCCTTCTGAGGAACAGATGGATGAGGGGGGGAAGTTGCCATCCTCACTTTGGATTAGCAGGGATATTTTTCCAATAGCTAACTACAGTCCATGTTGTACCATCTTAAGGCAACCATGTCAAGTCAACACAATTCACACATCTGTTTTTTCACCCTGCTACCACACCCGTTTCAATCGCAGAGACCAACCTCAGGAGCACGAAGGAAGCAGCAGCTCATCTCCGCGCCACTGGCTGGATTTCAAGTCATTTGCTGATGTTTCCAATCAAACCTGACATTTCCAGGCAGGTGAGATTTATAACATTTGGAGTTTATTCCTCACTCTCATCCTTCTGCAAAGGCTTGTGCTCTGTTTTGCACACACAACACACAGACAGACATTTCCCTGGGATAAGCCTCAGCCCATCCAACCAGATGGAGCAACGTGATTTCCTGTAGGTTTTTTTTCCCAGTGGAAAGGGAAAGGAAACCTACAAACAGGCTGCTCCAATGTTACCTGCCTTGTAGAATTAGGGGGCCTGTCCAGGTGACCAACAGTTGATCCCACCAGATCCTGAGTTCCATCCACCAGTTTGGCCTGAAGTTGGAGAGCTTATTTTGCATTGAGTGTAGAAAACCATTGAGCTGTAAACAGAGAACAGGAGTATCTTCAGTGGCCTGCAATCAGCTGCCCTTTGGGGCTAACAAGACTCAGCTGCCTGGGGAGTTCTTTCATTCAGCCTAATGGAAGGCCGGCCGGCTCTGTCATCTCCCTTTTAGCCTAAATTTTCTGGAATGCAGCAGGAACAGGAGACAGCCCTGTAGCAGAGAAGCCACAGGGCACTGCAGTCTTCCTGCAATTCGGAATTCATGAAGAAAGGGAGAGTTCTGAGCATACCAGAAGCAAAGAATGTAATCACTGGCATTATCAGCTTAATTGTTATGGCAAGTGAACTGCGGCAGAATCTCGCTTGTAATTGTCTTAACCACTTTGTGGTCCTCTTCTAAAAATATAGATGGGAGTATTTGTTCAGAAAGACCCTTCTGAGTCCAAGGAAAAAGGAGCAGGCGGGGGAAGGACCACTGCAGAATCTGGGGTGGGGGGCTCTGAAAGGCTCTCTGAAGTGGACCCTCGGAAACAGCCACATACATCTCTGGCTCCACCCATCTCCCCATCGGAGCCAATGACTCCTGCAGTGGAAAATGGAGAGAGACCGACCCCTTTCACTCCAGGATGGAAGCCCTGCTCCAGCCCCGACCAGGGTGGGGTGGGGGATGGATGGACCTCCAGCCAATTAGAGCAGGGGGCAAGGATGCCCCTGAACACCTGGATTCCGCTTGCTTGCTTGCTTCAATTACTTAAGGAAGAAGAAGAGGCATGGAGTAGCGGCAGAGTTGCTCAGAAGCCAGCCAGCCAGAGGAGAGGGAACTGGGCATCCTGAAGTAGCAGAGGAGTCCATGGGCTCTCACCTGCACAAGCAGGCAGGATCAGCCCCTTTCAGGAACTGGACTGTTAGATCATTCCCCAATGTCTAGCGCATGATTGGGGGCTTTGGCCTTCCCACATGGCTGGCTGAATGCTTGGGTGGGGGAGGGCTGCATACGGTGTGTCTTTAGGTGCTTTGCATTTGCTGCTCCAGAAACACCCCCCCCCCCAGCAGCTCCAGTGGGCGAGAGAGCTGCTCACAGCCGCAAATTTGTATTCCGTCCGTTCAGCCTGTTTGAGCACCGCCTGAGAAGCTGCTGCTGCATCTCTCGGGTTGCTCCATTTGTCTCCTTGACGGCTTCAGCCCCCGCCAGCAAATAGCCATCCTGCCCCACACCTGGCCCCGTGGTGGGCAAAATGGGGCAGGACAGACGGGG